TGTCATTAATTGTCATTAATTGTCTTCATATCAAAGTTGAATACATAGGATTCTTACTTCTCCATTCCTCTGATGCTTCACTAAGAATAATGTGTTTCACCTCCATCCAGGTTAGTATAAATGCTGTAAAATCTCCATTGTTTTTTATGGCTGAATAATATTCCATGGTATACATGTACCACAGCTTACCAATCCATTCCTGGGTTGAAGGACATTTAGGATATTTCTACATTTTAGCGATTGTAAATTGGGCTGCAATAAACAGCCTAGTACAAGTGTCTTTATAATTAAAGGTTTTTTTTTTTTTTTCCTTCTGGATAGATGCCCAGTAATGGGATTGCAGGATCAAATGGGAGGTCTAGGTTGAGTTCTTTGAGATTTCTCCATACTTCCTTCCAAAAAGGTTGTATTAGTTTGCAGTCCCACCAGCAGTGTAAAAGTGTTCCTTTCTCTCACATCTGCACCAGCATCTGCAGTTTTGAGATTTTGTGATATAGGCCATTCTCACTGGGGTCAGATGATATCTCAGGGTGGTTTTAATTTTCATTTCTCTGATAATGGGGATGATGAGCATTTTTTCATATGCTTAGTAGCCCTTCGTCTATCAACTTTAAAGAAGATTCTATTCATGTCTCTTCCCCAGTGATGTATGGGGCTGTTGGATTTTTTCTTATAGATTAATTGATTTTCTGCATAGATCCTGGTTATTAGACTTTTGTCTGATTCAAAATATGCAAATATCCTTTCCCATTGAGTAAGTTGTCTATTTGCGTTTGTCTTTCCTGTGTCCCCTTGCTTCCCTGCCCTCCTTATTTTTTTCTGTGACTTTATTTCATATGTATAGAGTGTGGCTTTCATAACTGTTACCTGGGGATTAAGAAACCAGAGATTTTCTTGCATTTTGTTTCGTTCTTTCAATTTCTTTTTTTGAATGTTGAGGTAAAATCTTTATCTGAGTCCCCTGGATGCGGTATCCCTTTACTTTTTTACTTTTTTAAGCCTGTTCTGTGCATTGTTTGGGTCAGCACTTGTCCACACATTGTTCCTGGTTCATGACCAGCAAGGACTTTGAGAACAAATGTAGAAAAATTTTGTAGGAATTTGACAGGGTAATTTTGTTTCATCATTAATAACAAATTCAGGGCTTGAATATTCTATCTCTTTTCACTTCATTTTTCTAGCAATTCATGTTTATTGTAACATATATAAATTGATTTTTTAAAAACTGGTTCTTTATCATAAATTTTCTCATAAATTTTGAGAAGCACTGCTTAGTGAACTGAATTGGTTATATCTGAATAGGTCAGAAGAAGCACAAATACCCATATAGACTAAAGTCAGGAGGCACACCTGCAATGTTGGAACTTGTAAACATTTTGTAGCTTTTGGGTCCTAAACCCACAAATTTGAAGGCATGGTCATACAAGAAAAAAGAAAATAAAAAGACAAAACAGCCAAAGGGAGGGAAAGGCAAATGATCTGTATGCATTTGCTAAAACTAGGAAGGTTACAAAGTAAATTTTATAATGCCTTTCAAGTTCACAAAATGCTGCTTCTCTGTTAGCCCAAGTGTGGAATAATACAGGAAATTCTTTCTTCCTTCTGGATTATGGAAATATCTACCTCCCCATTTGCACAAAGTTTCTCAAATGTAGAAATTCATACAGTTTCTTAAACCATGTCAAATCTACAGCTTCTACCACACCAATGCAAATTTTAATGATGGGTTGGAAAGAAATAACTAATTCTATGTAGTTATTACTGCTGTCCCAAACAATGATGGAAGATAGTCTAATCAAAAACATTTGCCAGTGGATATGATTAGCTAAATTTAATTCACCCAAAGATTTGAGAATGCGAACATTACATGTTATCATAAGAGAGTTTTCATTTTTGGAGGAACCAAAATAATTATTCCTGAAGCCTTCGAAGTCTGCCTCTGAAGACTGCTCCTTTTGAAGCTGACTCCGTCATGCGAGCTCATTTCATTTGCCTGCAACATTATATTCTCTACACACACACTAGTGACTTAAGGGTGTTCTGTTATCTGAACACAACCAGAATTTCTATGCTAATTTGAATTGTGATTTCTTTTATTTATTTACCCAGTTGGAGTGCTTTTTGTAAGGTAAAAAATTGAGGTAAGGAAGTAACTATAGAAAGAGACTCAATTACTTTTTGAAAATGCGTTTCCTGGCAGTGAAAACATTGATGTAGAAGGTGAAAATTAAACATCCATCCATAAAGGAATAGTATAAAAAACAGTCTTAATAGTCTAAAATTGGATATAAATGCTTTGAATTATTTAATTCTTTAAACAGTGGTTTGGGAGGTGACTTTACCTTCATAGCAGATAGGTGATAAATTCAACCACCTAGAAAACATCTCTTCCCTCCTTCCTGCTTTCTCTTATGTACAACTGCGACATAACCCACAGAGTCGGGGTTACTAGACTTTGCTAAACATAAATGAATGTTCACACTTGTTTCTGCAAACTCATCAGAAGACAGTAGTGCAGTGCTGCCAGGAACAGCTGCATGGGGAGGAATGCCACCCTTTATACTTTAAAGTCCTGCTGGTCACACACTGAAATAAAGTGACCTTTCCCATAAATGTAAGGGCAAGATTAAATGAGTTGAAGATGTTTTATTATCTCAATACCAATGTTGCTCCGTCATAAAGAAAGGAAATTTAAAAATCACCACTTAGGTAAATTAGAGGAGGATCAGAAGAGTTGTAAGGTGAACAGTGTGTGTGTGGTTGGGGGGAGATAAATGGTGAAGTCCACATAGTTTAAAGAAGGCGTGCACTTAGGTATGAGGAAGCAAAGTCATAATGAAAGTCACCAGCATTTGTTGAGCGAGTGTGTTCCCAAGTACCCTCGTGGGCATGTGTTCATGACTAATTGTGGGAGCTGCTGAGGAACAACAATACGGAGACTCAGAAGGAAAAAAAAAGCGGGGGTGGGGTGGGGAACCACTCTGGAATACACCCCAGGGCAGGGGTGGGGTACTTGCTGCCATAAGGCCACATGTGGCCTTCTTGGTCCTTAAGTTCTCTAGAACAAATCCTTTTATTTTTATTAAGACTTTTCTATCTTCTTTTATATTTTTATTTTATTTTAAAAATTAACATGTTTTAAAGAATAAAACATAAAAGGATAAAATGAGTTTCAACAAAACAGTCCTCTCAGATTGACTGGCGCAGTTAGAGCATTAGTAAGTCAAAAGGGCTAAATTGGCAGCTGCTGTGCTCAGGTATATTTCTCATTTTCCATGCCTGCCTGACTGGCTGCACTAAGGCCGGTTGGTGAGAGTTTATGGGGGTCAAGTACTCTGGTCTGTTACCAGCTTTTGAACAATAGTGCCCCGTGTTTCTGTTTGAAATGGAATCTGTAAATAGTTGTACAGCTCTACAGTAGCTCTTAATTCTGTCTGCTTAACAGCCCATCATATCAAAGAGGACCAAGGGAAATGCTGAAGGATGAAAACAGAGTTTTAAATGAGGATTGGGAATTACACTATTATTTTGTTTCTGCTAAAGATAAGATGATTTGCTTGCTTTGTGATACTACAATAGCAACGTTAAAGTACGTCAGTGGTCATCAGCGTTGTAACAGTCATAAGGACCACAAATATTTTTAAATAGAGGGAGAGGTATGAAAGGCTGTATTACAAAAATTAGAAGATGAGGCTCGGCGCCTATAGCTCAACCGGCTAAGGCGCCAGCCACGTACACCTAAGGTGGCGGGTTCGAATCCCCAGCCCGGACCCGCCAAACAACGACAGCTGCAACCAAAAAAAAAAAATAGCCGGGCGTTGTGGCGGGCACCTGTGGTCCCAGCTACTTGGGAGGCGGAGGCAGAAGACTCGCTTGAGCCCAGGAGTTGGAGGTTGCTGTGAGCTGTAATGCCACGGCACTCTACCCAGGGGGACAGCTTGAGGCTCTGTCTCAAAAAAAAAAAAAAAAATTAGAAGATGAAAAGCAAAAGCAAAGACAGTACAATAAGACCTGGAAATAATGCCACCAAAGCAACTTATAAAGTAGCTTATATGCTCCGGGGGAAAAAAGAGAAGCCAGTCAGTGATGTAGAAATTATGAAAGAGTCATTGTTGATGTTGTATGATACTTAGATGCCAGTAAGGTTTCAAAGTGTAAATAGCTACCTCTTTCAGGGTGCACCATAATCAGCTGGCAACGTGAATTAGCCTTCAACTTAACAGTGGTGCTTCATGCCATACTTTGAAAGGAAAATATACAGTATTCAGTCACTTTGGATGGCTGAATCAAGCTATCCTGCTGAGTTGGTCCAGATTTTCTACTTTATTTGGGTCATAGAAGATTTTCTTTGCTATGAAGAATTACTTGCTTTAGCTACTCTTGCTTTGAATAGAACATGAGGAATAGATATTTGATAGATACTTTAATAGATATCTCAAATAACAATTGAGTTTGCAAACTCATCCTAGAAAAAGTGCTACATACCTCATTGCTGAATATAATTACAGTCACCTTTGAAGTACTCTCCTTGGAAGGTTGTGCACCAATGCCAGAGCCTAGTTTATCCTTCAGTGCAGTTTTGGAACTCTTTCTGGATTGCCCTATTGCACACAGAAACATACAGCCACAATAATGAATGCCACTCAGCAAGACACCATCACATGTCAACATGATATGTGAGACACTGATATATCAAGGTTATGAAAATTTACTGAGTTGTTTGTACAGTGTTGCCAAGGTAAGTGCATAGGGGCAAGTTCAAGAACTTAATTGGCAGACCTTGTATGACGACATCTCTGATGGTCATTCTAGACAAAGAGTACCAAAATTGCTTTTAAGGGTGGACTAGGCACTGGCTTGTATGCATAGCTTTCCAAGCAGAGTACTTTGAAGGTGACTATGATGATACTCAGCACTGAGGTATGTAGTACTTTTTCTAGGATGAGTTTGCAGACTTAATTGTCAGATCTCCTATATCTGAATTTCACCTGGTTTTCAACATGAAAATGCCTGTGTATGCTCAGAAAGGTGATGGTAAGAACATTTTGTGCTGAAATCGAGCACAGTGGACTAAACATTGGAGGATGGGTGATCTAGTTAGGAGAATAATATTTTTAGGAAACCCAGGTGATTCCCTGAACTGATAGAAAGGTACCTGGTTTACAGAAATTTATGGAAGAGACCCCTGTTTGAGCTTCATCTAGGTATGTTTCACAGAACATGACAAGGTGTATTTTTGCTGTCCTCTATGGTTTACCATGGTGACCACCCATGGTTGCCCAAGTTTAATTGATGTGAACAAGTGCGAAACAATATTCTTGGCAGTGTGGCCATACTTGGCGTATGGGTCACAGCTGCCTTCAAGGTCATGTCATGCCTCAGTCCCACCAGTGAGAATATATCTGGTAACTATTTTATAGATGACAAAGCCCCCAGATCATTGTGGAATAAATCAGCTTGTTTTCTTAAAGCAGAAAATACAGTCTTCTCCTCATGTCATAAACACCAACGACCTGCTTTAGATTTGTGATGGAGTTGGCCCATCCTGCCTGTATTGAAGCTTTTTTCACTTTGTAAACTGTAACTAACCCAAATTATTTCAATGATATTTTCTTTTATTTCCTCTTACTCTTTTCTCCCCTCAGCTTTCTGAAATCACATCTGAACTTCTTACTACTGAAATATATGTTCCTTAGATAACCTTTCTCATGGGGCTGGGCTTTTATATTTCCAGGTGTGTAACATTCATCTCTTGAAGAATTGCTCTGTTTTAAAGTAGCTACTATAATTTTCTTTCACTGTCAGGAAGAGGTTTGTTTTTCTCATGTTGTTCAAATAGCATATGAAGAAACATGGGGTTATCGGATTGTGGCATGATGAATAATGGGCTGGAAAGTCAGAGGCTCAAAGTTCTGGTTTTGCCACTAACTCATCTTAAAACCTAGATAAGCTGCTTCCTCATCTCTCTGTGACCTCCATTTGTAATTATCTTTTCTTTTCCTTTTATTAAGTCATTATATACATAGATCATGAATACATTTATGCATTTGTGGGGTACAGTGTATTGGTTTTTTATACTTTGGAGTGCTTACATCAAACTAATCAACTTCAATGGTGTTAAAACTAGCTCACCTGCGTAGGGGTGCTGTAAAGGTGACAACCATAATCAAACATACTGTAATATGGATTCTTCAACAATAGCCTATTAATATGTACAGGTTATCTACATTTGTATCATTTATTTGGTCATTGTAGTAGTTGTTCAGGAAAGGTGGTATTCCTGTTTTGCTATTTAGGAAATTGTAGCATGTGAATAAGATACACATCCTAGTATTCTGTATGTATGTTTATGGAACACAAGCATGCATAAGCACACTTTGAACATTGTGATTCGCAATGAGGCACCCTCACCTGGAGGGTTTTTTTTTCTTTTAAACTCCTGGTGTAGGTGTACTTTCCTCATTGGAATGTTAATACATCTTCCTTTCTGCTAAAGGGGACTTATAATAAGCTATTTTTCCTTTTATCTTAGAACATTTCACTTTTACCTTTTTTTATGTGAAATATAAGATTTATGTAATTTTTAAAATTGCTGTTTAGACATGAGGAGGGCTCAAGAGTCAGGGTATCTGGAAAGCTTGAATCCACCTGGAAACTCTCCAGCACTCATGTGTGGGTTAGTGCCATGGGTGTCAAGAGCTTGTAGGATCTTGTGAGAAAAGATCATCTTCCACTTGGGACAGTGATTGCATCAGTCTCAGTAGTCACCTTGTTGGGAAAACTGACACCCCCACTGTCAAGGAGAAGTAGGAAGGGGGTACTAGTGCTCAAGTGCAAGAGGGTCCATATTGCCCTGCCCGATGGAGCATCACAGGCTGTGTAGGATTCCACAGACCACATTACTCTGTTGTCTTTCTCTGGGATGTGCCAAGTACCGATCAGGTGGTGGTACCCTTACGGTATGTGCTGTCCAGTAGAACTTCGGCTAGGTGTAGGGATTCTGTGGTGCTGTTGAATATGGTGGTGACCATTGAGCCCTTGTAATGTGGCTGGTGTGACTGAGGACCTGAATATAGAATATGAGGAAGTTTTAGTTAATTAATTTTAACTTAAATAACCATCCATGGCTAATGACTACAACCATATTTGATCAGGATAGGTCTACCAACATAAAGCTACATTTGTATTATTTAGGAGACAAACTGCAGTCACAGACAGGAAATTATCCATTCATTGACTTTTGAAAACACACTGGAGGTGGTAGGAGGAGGTGAAAATATCTGGAAAAGGTATGAAAGAAATGGCAGTTTAAATAACTTATGTGGAATTGCAGTGGCAAACCTACTTAACCTATTGTGGCTTTTCAGAAATGACCGTAGAGTACTATCTGGGGTTGTGACCATCCTTTGATTTTGTTTTGCAGGTTCGTTCATGCTGGTAAATGCGTCGGGGAGATCTGAGGGGCAGAGAGCCCACCTGCTGTTACCCCAACTTAAAGAAAATGACACACACTGCATCGATTTTCACTATTTTGTATCCAGCAGGAGTAATTCTGCTCCTGGGTTACTCAATGTCTACGTGAAGGTCAATAACGGGCCTTTGGGGAATCCCATCTGGAATATCTCTGGAGACCCTACACGCACATGGAACTGGGCAGAACTGGCCATTAGTACCTTCTGGCCTAATTTTTATCAGGTATGCATTTTTCTTTTCATAGTATGCTTTCAAGCATCCCTCAGTTTTTAAAAATATAAATTTCTTATATTAGAATAATCAGAGAGAGTATAAGAAATGTTGGTATTTATATCATTGTAACAAAAATCTATACTATTTCCTAAGGAATGTCTTAAGTCTTTGTGAAATTAGTAAAAAAAAAAAAAAAAAAAAGACTTGAAATTTGTTTATGCCTTACATGTATTGTTTTAGGAAAATAAAAGCAAAAACCTGCAGCAGGGCAAGAAGTGCTATCTTCAAGGGTATTTTACTTTTTATGTTAAGTAAGCCACATCTGACCCAGGGAGACACAGAACTTGAGTCTGAAGGAAGACGTCTTTTCTGTAAATGGGTCTAGGAGTAAATGAGTCATTAAGAGGTGAGCCTGGTGGAGATGAGCTAGCGACGTGCAGGTTTCTGCTTCCACCCACGTAAGCAGTAGGAAGAAAATGCCAATGTAAACTGAGTCCTTGTAACAGAGAGTCTGCAGCGAGATCTGTCCTGCTGTTTTGGAGGATCTTTGAGCCCCACAGTCCTCACTTTGAGTTCCTGTCTGAAGTAACTGAGGGGCGGAGGCGCAGCGGCAGTTAAGAAGTGCTGCGCATGTAACCCCGACGTCACATTCCTTCAGCCCCTCTGATGGGACCCCTGAACGCCAGAGCATCCTGACTGGGATCCCAGGTGGGAAATTAAAGCAGTGGGCATTGGGGGAGCTTTTTCCTTTTGTCCACAGCACTTTAAAAAAGTAGCTTGATATTGGTAATACTCAATTACTTTCCACTTGAGAGGAGGCATGAAAAGGATAGTGATGTTTCTGCCTTTCTCTCTTTTTTTTTAATTTTTGAGACAGAGTCTCACTCTGTTGCCCTGTGGCATCATAGCTCACAGCAACCCCAAACTATTAGGCTTAAGGAATCCTCATGCCTCAGCTTTCTGTGTAGCTGGGACTACAGGTGCCCACCACCACGCCTGGCTAAGTTTTATATTTTTAGTAGAGAAAAGGGGTCTTGAATTCCTAAGCCCAAGCAGTCCACCGCCTCGACCTTCCAGAGTTGCCTTTCTTTTCCTTCCTTAATTCCTTTGGCCCACAAAGGAGCCAACTGGAACGTGCAGCTAAGATCACTTTTCATGTTTAATTTAGGTGGTTGGCTAAACTGGGTGTTTCAAGAGCTGCTTGTCTTCAGAATGGGCGTGAATGGCATTCAATAATCTATTTGGCAGTTCTGGTGTTTATTGGTTTATGTCTTTATCCCTGGAATGGTTATAAATTCCTTGTTTAAATTATCTTTGTACCTACAACAATTTCTGGTATTTAATGAGTCATAAATAAATGTTTTTTTTTTAATGGAAGTGAAGATATAATAAAAAGCTCTATTAGTACACATGTAAATTGTTAAAATCTTTTAGAAAGATTTTGGCCATAATTTTGAGAAGTGTTAAAAACTTAAGATACATCTAAATTAGCAGTCCACTATTAGAAATATATCCTAAACAAATAATGAGCATGATTGCAAATAATTAACTACAAGGATATTAATAGCAGCTTATTTATAATAAAGAAAAATCAGAAACAGTAATTTTCCAACTATATAGGCTTTGTTAATATATGCTACCTCAAAACCAAAACTCATTTTGTGTAGCCATTTAGAATGGGCGGCGCCTGTGGCTCACAGAAGTAGGGCGCCAGCCCCATATGCCACAGGTGGTGGGTTCAAACCCAGCCCCGGCCAAAAAAAAAAAAACAACTGCAAAAACAAACAAACAAAAAAAGAATAATGTTGTAGAAGAAAATTTAATGATATATTTAAACTTATGTTTTCAAATGGATAAAACATTGAGCACTATATTAAATTCCACTTTAAATTAAAAATATGTATTGAAGACTAAAATATATTCTGAAATTAATGCACAAAATTTGGTATTCCTGTAGATATTGGAATACCTACCATATAACAGGTAATTTTATTTTTTTCCTTTTGTTATCTGTCATAGTCTCGGTTTTCCCTAATCCACATGTATTGTTTTTATTTATAAATCAGAAAGAAGTAAAAAGTTAGTTTTTCCTCCAGAAGCAAAATACTCTATTTAACAAATACTCTTTTTATATGTATAAATTTACTAGTAACCAGTCAGTAGTTTAATTAATAAATATGGCCTTGGGGGTAGAGTTTCCTCTTCCTAGGATTAAAAAGCCATCAGGGAAGGTGGGTTTGGTGGGGCTGAGCTTCAAAAGGTTTTTATGTGGTGATGGGGGCTAAGTAACTGAAGGGGTTAAAAGATTTTTTTATTTTTTTGCCAGAAATGATAGCCCATGCCTATAATCCTTGCACTCTGGGAGGACAAGGCAGGAGGATTCCTTTAGGTCAATAGTTGGAGACCAGCCTGAGCAAGAGCAAGACCCCATCTCTACTAAAAATAGAAAAACTAGCCAGGCATTGTGGAAGATGCCTGTAGTCCCAGCTACTCAGGAGGCTGAGGCATGAGGATTGCTTGATCCCGAGAGTTTGAGGTTTGGTGAGCTATGATGATACCACTGCACTCATGGCAGGCAACAAAGCAAGACCCTTTCTTAAAACAACAACAACAAATTTCTTTTGGAGACCTTCCTAGAATAGGGAAGACTGATCTGGAATGTTTCCATGGTCCAGTGAGGACCTATTCTAGGCTCTTCCTCACCCTCCAGGAGCCTCCTAGACTGGGCCAATGGCACACCCTCCTTAGTGGGTTCAAAGGCCCTATTCAGCTCCTCTCTGTCCTAATGTTCTGCTCTTTGGCCTTAGTAATGCACAGGCAGAATCTCCAGTATGAGCTTTCTTGAGACCCTTCACAGCTTCCAGAGTCACAAGGCACTGGTTTAGCATTACACTGGCTACCGTCAGATCTGGAATTTTTATTTGCCTTTTATATACCTGGCTCATAGAGTTAGGGGCTTTAAATGAATGTTTTGCCTTATAAACGGTCTTGGGAAATCAGACTTCAAAAAGGAATTACCAAATTAAACAGAAAGTAGGATGGTCCTCTATATCTGACCATTGTCATTCTTAATGGATTCTTACTTTCTTGAGTACCTTTGATAAAATTTTTACCATCCCAGTTGTGAACCTCTATCCTAACCCTTAAGCCCCCCCTACTTTTCACTATGATTTACCAAAATTAAGTCAAGGCTGTACTCTCAAGGCTTTTTTATTTACTTTACATTTTATTCCTTCATTGGTGTTTTAGTCTGCTGGGTTATAGTAACCCAGACTGGGAGGTTTAAATAACAGAAATAACACTTATTTCTCATACTTCTGGAGTTTGGGAGGTCTGAGATGAGGTTACCTGTATAGTCAGATTTGGTAAAAGTTCTTTTCCTGGTTTGCATATGGTCATCATTTTGCTGTGTCCTCACATGGTGGAGGGTGGGGCAGTATGGAGTTGGGTGGTGGTGAAGGCATGCTGCTTCTTATAAGGACACTAATAATTTTTTTTTTTTTTTAAGCAGAGTCTTAAGCTGTGGCCCTGGGTAGAGTGCTATGGTGTCATAGCTCACAGCAATGTCAAACTCTTGGGCTGAAGTGATGTTCTTACCTCATTCTCCCAAGTAGCTGGGACTACAGGTGCCTGCCACATGCCCAGCTATTAAGAGCACTAATCTTATCACAAGGGTTCCATCCCTCATGGCCTTCTCACCTCTCAAATGCCCCACCTCCTAATACCCTGATATTGGGGAGGATTAGGGTTTCAATATGAATTTGGGGGCCCCAGAAACATTCAGATGATAGCACTGTTTGATTCATTAGGCATAGCTTCATATTTTGAATTTAAAGATGGATTTGTAGAGATTCTTTAATATCGTGTTGCTAAGTTTTTAAGAACCTGCTGATCAACATATGTAAAGGACATAGATCTGAAAAACCACTTGTTCATGTAATTCCTACGCACTGCAGCCAAGCATTAGCCTTTGAAATTAAGGTGGCATTCCCCTCTTACATCCCCTTTATCTGCTGGGCAGTATACATACTGAAGTCATTATCCAATGGCAACAGAAGCTCTTGGGTAAATGGCACATTGTAGATGCTGTAAGAAGGATGTCAGCAGGAAGATTCCCAGACACATAAAATCACCATGTAAGGCCTGGAAGATGTTTCCCAGTTGGGATGAAAAGATCAAGTTGTATTAATAGATGTGAAATAAAAGGAAAACACCTACCACATCTATTTCTACCCTTCCCTAAGGTGTTAGCATAACTGGAGATGGTCATTAAAAAACAAAAAAATGCCAGAACTGTAAGTTGTCAGGTTCTGCCAGAGGTGTGGTTTCCTTGGGCTACAGGTCCAGCCCCCTGCCCATGGGGCAGCACACCCTCGCCAAGGAGATGGTGTTGTATCCTGATGCTCTCAGAAATTGGAATTATATAAAAGCCTATCCACCTTGGATGTGATTTCCCATACAGATTGCTTTACAAGGAGTTCTGTCCTGGCTGGAAGATGTGACTCCAGTTTGTAATTAATATATTTTTAGTTTGAAAATATAAAATATATTTTTCTGGTATCATGTGTTCACACATGCACACACACACACACATATATATATATATATATATATATATATATCATTGTCTTTTTTGAACATGGTATCTAAAAATCAATATCTAAATGGTACATTCTTAGGATATAGATAGGCTGTTCCTGGGCCTGAAAGGAGAAGACAAGGTAAAGGGACATGGGTGTCTAAAGGAGGTGGTAGCCTTGAGAGACCCTCCTTGCAGGGCACAGGAGTCAGCTTCCCCTAGACAGCACCCCATACTATTATTAAGGCCACAAGATACATTATGGTGATCTAAAAAGTAAGTTCAGCGTATACTGGAAACATTAGCATACTATAATACTTTATTTCCATAAGGTAGTTTTTATACTAGTTAGTAGTTTTGATGCAACTTAAGATCAATAAATGAACTCTTTCAAAGGAATTTATTATAAATTGCTTGAAAATAGCATCAA